CGAGAAGCTCGGTCTACCACGAACTCCCTTGAGATGTTAGAAATTCCTTCAGATTTTTTGGCGTTAGTTGAAGATGAAATCATAACCTCCAAAAACGATGACGATGATAAGACCGTAACCTCCAAAACCGTTGATGATAATGAAACTAATGAACTCCCATCTATTAATACAAAGAAACATTTATGGATTGCTTTTGGTCGGTGGTTGGGTCTAGATAAAAATGGGCCTATTAAAAGAAGGCAAGTGCAACAATATCTTAAATCGAGGTGGACAAATCTTCAACATGGTTTAGAGCTCCAAAATAATAAAAATTCGTAAGGACTTTGATAAGAGAGTAAGAACATTGTGTTCACATTACAAATAAATAATTCAATAATAATTTTTGAGTGAACACATCTGAAAAATAAATTCTTACTCACGAATGAATCCACTCTGACATGATCTGTATATGACGAATTAAAAGGTTATTCTTAATTTCTTTGTTGTGCATATTTACAAATCATGAATGTCACTCATAGCAATTTTCCTTAGATACTATACGTATACAATAAACACATGCTTATTAATCACGATAAAAACTTGTATACAAAGATAGATTATGTAAAAAAAAACCCCCGTGGAATCATTGAAGTCATTGTTTTAATTATTTCAAAAATAGAAAGATTACAAGTGTCAAACTCGAGAATTGTATAGTAAACACGCTGTTATTTTCACGAGTTATTTTCACGAGTTATTTTCACACACTTATTATTAAGCAAGTTCAGATGCGTTGTAATAAGACCAGTGCAGAATTATAAAAGAACACACAAACTGACTCACCTTTTTTTTTTTCCACACTCTTTACATTTCACTTTCGACACTCTACACACTATACTTTCGACACTCTCCAATACTCTTTACATCCTTCAGCACTCTCTATATTTTTGACATTCTCTACATTTTCGGCACTCTACGTTTTTGACACTTTCATTTTTGATACTTTTTTGTATTTCTATATTTTCGACACTTTTTAAATTTTCGGTACTCTCTACATTTTAGGCATCTCTCTATCACCACCACTTGAGCTTTACCACCACTACTCGAGCCCTACCACCACCACTCGAACCCTACCACCACCACTCGAGCCCTACCACCATCACTCGAACTCTACCACCACCACTCGAACCCTACCACCACCACTTGAACTCTACCACCACCACTTGAACTCCATCACTACCACTCGAGCTTTACCACCATCACTCGAGCCCTATTACTACCACTCAAGCCCTACCACCACCACTTGAACTCTATCACCACCACTCGAGCCCTACCACTATCACTCGAACTCTACTGCCATCACCACACAACCACCACTCGAACTCCATCACCACCACTCAAACTCTATCACCACCACTCAAACTCTATCACTACCACTCGAGCTTTACCACCATTACTCGAACTCTACCACCATCACCACTACCACCACCACTCGAACTCTATTACCACCACTCGAGCTTTACCACCACTACTCGAACTCTACCATCACCACTCGAGCCCTATCACTACCACTCGAACTTTACCATTACTCGAGCCCTATCACTATTACTCAAGCCCTACCACCTCGAACTTTACCACCACCACTCGAGCCCTATCACCACCACTCACCACCTCACTACTACTCGAACTCTACCACTATATCTTTTTCTTTACTATTATCACATGTTTTCTATTTATTATATTATATTGTATATACATTTTATGATAATATGACTGTAATATAGAAAGGATTAGGATTAAGTTAGTAGGAGCTGAAATTAGGGTCTAGGATTAGATGAGGATTACATAGTAGTAAGATAATAAGATTGGTGATAGATTTTATCCTTACTTTCTTGATTGAAAGAATATATCCCTACTTTCTATTTATTGATTGAAAGGATATATCCTTCTTTCTATTGATTGAAGGATATCAATGTTACCCAGATTCTTAACTCGTATATCCAAAATTCATCCTAACTTTTGAACTTTTGAATTTTTAATTGATCAAAAGACATGATAAGTCATGTGCACTAATTACAGTATATATTGTATATAGTATAGTTAAATTAAATCAGTAATTTAAAAGTCAATAAAAATTTGAATTTTAATTATATTTTATAAACATTGGTTTAAGTGATTTTTTTAATTTTATTAATACTAAATATTAATAAAAATATCAAATTTAAAAATAATTTCAAGTTGTAATATGTTAATTAATTTGTATTAAATATATTTAATAAAGTTTTTAATAAACTATTTTTTATTTATTAGTTTAATTTTTAAACTTTGAAAACTATTATTTATTTATATAAAAAATTTATAATAAAAATTTAAAAAAACAAATATCAATATATTATTAAAAATATTAATATAAAAGTAGAAAAATATAATTAAATTTACAATGAACTTATAAAAATTATTAAAAATTTAAAAAATAAATCAAATTATAAAAAATAAAATAACTAGTTTATCAAATTTAGATAATATAATAATAAAAGAAATTTATATTGATTGAAATTATATTATTCAAAAACTAAATTATTGTTATTTAATTAATCTATTAATAAAAACATTAATAAATCTTATTTAATTGTTGTTACTCTAAAATATTAACCAAAAAATTGGCAAATTAAATTTAACAATAAATCAATATTAAATTTAATATATTATAACAAAAAAATTTAATATTAAATTTAACAAAAAAATTTATATATTGCTACAAAAAATTTGTATATTACAAAAAAAAATTTAATTAAATTATAATTCCAATATACTATAATATTAAAATAGTATTAAAATTTAATAAAAAGTTTAACAGATTTTATAAAATTATTAAAAAATTAAAAAATTATTTATTAAATAATATATTACT